AAATTGCAGGGGATGAGCTTTCAGGAATCACGGGTCGCTTCTTCAGATACAGCAGTGACTCACGAAAGCTCCTCCCCCTGCCACAACTTTTGTTAGTCTTTAAGGTGCTACTGGACTCTTGCTCTTTTCTACTGCTTCAGACGGGCTAGCATGGCTATCATGCTCCACACCAGGACAGTGCGTGCTCATAGCTGCTGACGCTTCCTTGAGCAATCGCCACACTCTGTGGAACCAATTCCCACTGTTAACGATGCAATGCTGTCGATAGCTATTTGCCAGTCCATCTGCATTGAATCAAAATCACCTCCAGAAAATTGGAGTATGTCTTAGAGCAAATTAATCCCATACAGAAATTACAGTATTATAGTTTTATTCGTAAAGAATGGATCTTGTAATTATTGGATTTGTTGTTATCATTATGCTCAGAGAGTTTGTTTAGTGTTGATATTTGTATTCCTTAATATTGTATTGTTAATATTACAAGTTATATGTCGACACACTGTTTATATTGATTGAAAATAAAAAAATATTTACAAAAAAAAAAATCACCTCCAGGCAGTCACTCAAGGAAACTCCTGTAAAGTGGAAGAGAGTGGCTCCTTGGATTTTTCCTTCCTCTTCAGGCCACCACTATGCAAAAAATGGTTCATGTGTGTATGTGTGAACAGGGAGGCCGCAGTCACACTGGCGGCTTGGCACAATATGGTGCCGCCTCTAATTGAACTAGTTTAAAGTGTTGCGGGGCATATCAGCCACACAGCAGCACACCCTGCTGCAGGTTACCCATGGAGACATCCCATGGTAAAGCATCCTCATTATTACAGCACCTCAGACATGGAGCACACTGCAAAAAATTTTCCCAAAATTCATGCATGAGCATAAGTGTGCACACATGCACGCACATGTGCACATAGACAATTTTTTTAAAAAACCGCCTCCCTAGTGGCACAATGGATCTGCAGGTTCAGACTGCCAAATCCGTTCTGTGCGCGCTCCCCCGCGTTCAGACATCCAGCCATGTGCAATGACTGCGTGGGGAACCGGAAAAACCACTTGTGGTGTGGTGCCTTTTTAACCTGGCTCCAAGTCGTCCTATGACGGGATAAGTATGGCTGGGGAACACCTGACAAATGTGGCTGTCTGACTGCGCCCGTTTGATCCGGAGGGGAGGAGTGGCTGTGTCGGGCCAAACTGCCCATGTGATCACGGCCGGGGATTCATAAGAATTTTTATAGATAAACCGGGGTAGCAGACAGCCAGAAGGAGGTCCCTACAGACTTCCAGGGATTTTCACAGGTGTTGCATGAGGGGCAGCTGGCAACTGGCTTCCTGGTCATGGTGATGGAAAGGGCTGTCCAGGGGTGGTTTGCCATTGCCGGCCTCTGTGTGGCAACCCTGGACTTCCTCGGTGGCCTCCCATCCAAGCACTAACCAGGGCCGACCCTGCTTAGCTTCTGAACTCTTAAGGAGATCAGGCTAGCCTGAGCCATCCGGGTGATGTATGACCCATAACCACTGTCAACCTGAGGGAATGAATTGGAAGGTAAGCCAGGAGGGGCTGTGCATGTGGAAGGCCCCAAATACATTCCCAGGCATCGCCAGTTTGGTGTAGTGGTTAAGTAAAGGTAAAGGTAAAGGTTCCCTTACTCGAAAGCCAGTCGAGTCCGACTCTAGGGTTGCGGTGCTCATCTCCGTTTCAAAGCCGAAGAGCCAGCACTGTCCGAAGACGTTTCCGTGGTCATGTGGCCGGCATGACTAAACACCTTCCCACCGAAGTGGTACCTATTTGTCTACTTGCAATTTCTTGCTTTCGAACTGCTAGATTGGCAGGAGCTGGAACTAGAGACGGGAGCTCACTCCGTCATGCGGCACACTCGGGTCTCGAACTGCTAAACTACTGACCTTCCACAGCCTGCAGTTCAGCGTCTTAACCACTTGAGCCACCGCAGCTCCAGTGGTTAAGTATGGCAGACTATAATCTGGAGAACTGGGTTTGATTCCCCACTCCTCCACATGATGCCGGCTGGGTGACCTTGGGTCAGTCACTGTTCTCTCAGAGCTCTCTCAGCTCCACCTATGTCACAGGGTGCCTGTTGTGGGGAGAGGAAGGGACAGAGACTGTAAGCCACTCTGAGAATCCAAGTGAAGGGCAGGGTATAAATCCAATCCTTATTCTTATTCTTCCCATGAAAGCCAAGAAATGTGTTTCTCTACCAACCAGTACTGACCCAGATCGACCACCGGTCTGACTTGGATTAAAGTTTCACAGGCCCTAATGCCTCAGTGGTGGATGGAGCTCCAGCGCTTGCTATAAGAGGGAGGGAAAGCTCTGGCTAATGCACGGATGGTTGTGGGATGCAAGGCCTGAGATGAGGGAGCACGCAGAAGCCGAAGGTGGCTTGAAATCCTTGCAGCAAGGCAAAGAACGGCATTTGCGTATCTCCTGTTTCTGACCTGACTGAAAGGACCGTGCCAACTGGAACTTCAAAATGCTTTCCATGTCAGAGTAGCAACATTTGAGACTCACCAGAGACTAAAAGGAATCATTATCGTCTGAGATGGAATACGCCTGTTCTGTAGGCTCTGGGCAGGCAACGCACCTGGTGTCAGCTCCCTGTAGCCACCTGAGTGGGCCATGCCAGGGCTGGAATTGTCAAATTAAGCTGTTGCTCAAATTGGTGCATTACTCTGGTGAAAGAGGATCCCTTACTACTGTCGATGTCCTGGAGGTAAGAAATCCCTTTCCTCTTCCTCCCTGCTCCACTGCGCCTCCCATCTTCCATCCAGATTGTAAGGTTATGTTGCTCTCTCAGACATCCTGCACGTTGATGGTGCTAGCCAAGCAAGAGAGCTGAGATGAGGAAGCTCACTTCTCATGTGCATGTGAACATGCTGGGATGTGTACGAAAAATGTCCTCTCTCTTTGGCGATTTCTAGGCACCTCTTGGGAAAACTACTTCAGCCAGAATATTATACGCTAAATATTGGAGGTGCCAAGAGATGCCAAGTAGGGAAGAACTTATCAATAAAATCCTGGAAGCCGCAGAAATGGATACACTTACATTAACTTTGAAAGGCCACTCGGATGAGTCATTTGAAAATACTTGGCAGAGACTTCATGAATGGTATAAGCATTATATTCTTACTTAAACAGGACAAGACGCATAATCAAAAGGAAGGGAAGAAGAAGACATGAAGAGACTAAAGCTCATTATTGTTGTTGCAAAACAATATTTGCTTAGTATGAGGTAGAAGCTATGTGTAACAGAAAAGAGGCAATAAGCAATATGTAAGCACAATGTAGCTCCATTTTTATGTTTTTTATGTTTATATGTGTCTATGTATGTATGTTTTTGTTAGTGCTGTTATAAAAAAAAAACTAAAAAAAAAAAGACAAACACAGGCTTGTGCATTTATGTTATCCCCGCGCTCGATTGCCCTCAATGACTTTGTCAGCTTGGCCATCTCGCTCGCTACAAGATCCCTCAAAAGATGGAATCGTCGATGATGACTAATCCAGGAAGGAGGGAAAATCGGGGGGGGGGGCATGGCATGAAGAAGCAGAAGCCAGAAAAACAGCAGTCCCCCAAAGCAGGAAAGATATGCAGTGCAGCACTGTTCAATTATATATAATGTTCCCATGTTCCTAGCACTCTCTGCACCAGAGAGCTCTAATGTGGCTTGGCGATCCTGCTGATGGGTTTCCTGGTGCCGCCTTTCCTGTTGGGGATAAAACCCAAAGCTTCTTGAATGGAACTGAAACACCAGGCAGCTGTGGGTCACTCCCACAAGATGACTGGCCAGAGAAGTACTGGGCTCATCCTGGCCTGGAGCATCATACCTGTGTGAGCTTGGCTATCGACCAAGCTTTTCCTGTGTTTTGGGGCTTGGACACTGCTCCCTTTGGCCACACAGGAAGCAAACCTTCCCCTTTCTTGGAAGCGGAAAGCAACCGTGGCATCACTTCCCGAAAGCAAATATCCAATCCTGGCTTTCCTTTCACCGCCTTGGGGCAGGAGGCGCTTGAGAAGAGCCTGGGGAGATTTGCATTTGCTCTTGCAGGGAACACCTATTTGGAAGCAGCTGCCTTAGTGGTAGGAGGACGCTTGGCTTGGGACCTCCCAAGACTGGGACCGATTTCACACAAGAGCTGCACCGCGGTCGCACCTCCCTTTGTCCAGCTTCTATTGGTCAATTTCCCACTTGAAGCTGCGCGGCCGCGTTTTGACCCGTGGCTTCGCCCGATTTTCCCCGCGGTTTCGTGATCCTCAAAAACAGGATCACGAAACCGCGGGGAAAATCGGACGAAGCCGCGGGTCAAAATGCGGCCGCACGGCTTCGAGTGGGAAATTGACCAACAGAAGCGGGGCGAAGGGAGGCACGACCGCGGCGCAGCTCTTTTGTGAAATCGGTCTGGGTTACTGGCCCTGCCCTGTGAGAACCAAACAGTAGTGGTGCCCGCTACCCTTCCTCAAAACTCAAAAAAATGGGGGAATCTGCTCTATGCTCACCAAGAATGAGTGCCAAGGGTGGAGATATTTACAAGGAAGGCTGAGCTGGAGTCACCGGGAAAGAGATTAGCCACCGCCGCAGTGGTGTCCTTGAGTGACCCCTTCATTTTCAGTTAAACAAGCGAGCAGCTGCTATTCACACCTATGGGGAAGCGGCACTGCGCTTGGACCGGGCGTGATCCAACTGTCCCTGGCAAGGATCCCAGATTTCATCACACTACCTCCTTCTACACAGAGATGCATCAGGCACACTCACACGTACACTCTGCAGGACCCTGAAATACGTCAACACTCTCACTGCTCATTCCCTGAATTGGCTCTCCTAATCATAATGACAGATGCTAAGAAGATGAGCAAAGACCCACCCCCAGATCTGAATGGAACACAAGACTTTTTTCTCCTCCCTCCCCCCCCCCCCCCCCCCCACATCCATGATTGGGTATGTGTAGGTTTGTACCTCCGCTGAAGAAAGGGAGGAGTACGACCTACCTGGCCATCCGTCGTCAAGAGAGGGCTTAATGAGTTCTCCGAGTTTTGTCTCGTTGGCTACAGCTTCCTTTAGCAATTGCCCGCAGCAAACTGAGAGGAGGGAGGAACAGAAAGAGGCAAGGTTAATTTTTAAAAAGGAAGCAAGAAAGAAAACGGGAGGGAGGCTGAAAAGAGCAAAGGAGCTGCATATTGGAAAAAGGTCACTGAATAAAATAAAAGGTGAGGGGGTTTGGGTTGGCTTCTCCTTCTCGCACACCACCACCTCCTCCTCCTCCTCCTCCTCTTCCGCCCTTTTGGTTGTGCCAAGCAAAAACAGGAAAGAATACAGAATAAAAAGGAATACATTTGACCAGGAACATAACTTTTTTTTAAAAAAAAAGAGCAGAAAGAAATATACTAATCAAAATATGGGACAGAAATAATAAGTCAAGGCAAAGGCGTCGGATTTCTCACTTTTCATAAACTTATAATTACTGCACAAGAGTTACAGCTTCAAAAACTGTTGTGGGTCTTCTGTTTGCAGAAAGTTGCCCAAAGTAATGTTTAGCATTCACACCAGAATTCTAACAGCTGGAAGGACCCAAAAGCTCCTCTAGTCCAGCCCGCTGCTCACAGGAAAAACCTTCCACTCACTAACCACTCCACCCTCCACACAGGTGAACCAGGCAGTCCATGCCACAGAGGCAGAGAACAGGGGCAATGCAGAAAAGCATCAAGAGCTCCAAGTTCAAGAGACTGGAACAACTTCAGGAAGGTTTCAATCAGCCAGAGAAGAGGTCACAAGATTATCTAATATATTCAACGCTGCCAGTTCCTGTTCCCTTGGGCTGCTGAAGTCTCCTTGTAATCTCTTTGATAGGATACTTCTCCACTCCTCAGAGGACCAGGCCCCGTCTACCTCCCCCCTCCCACATAGAAGAAGAAGAAGAAGAGGAGGAGGAGGAGG